GAGAAAGGAACAATTGAAATCGCATCATATGACCCCTTTAAGTTTTTTTGGTGTACGATTTTGTGGGATTTGAAGAAGAGCAACAGACTCCCATCTCCTGAAAAGAATAGTGACCTCCTTTGAGAGACAAACATTTAACGTTTTTTTTTTTCTTTTCTACCTGATCTTTTATCATTCCTCTTTAAACCTCTCCATCTTCCAAAACAACAGGAAATAGAGGGTTGACATCCTTTTCTTCTAAAGCAAAACGTGGCTCATAAAAGGATAATGGGACAATTTTTGACTCTCAGGGCAGCAAAGTGGCTTCAGACACAAAACGAGTCCCTGTTAAGCTGCACTTTTAAATGTGGAACAATGGCTGTGAACATTTTTCTAGAGTTTGGCGTCTCACAGGGAGTCCAGGTGTGACGTTAGAATGGGATGCTTGAATCGCTGTGGCGCTGTGACTGCAATCATATGGCTTTTCTGCTCTTCTCCGTCCAGGTGAGAGAACGTTTAAGTGCGACCAGTGTGACGCCACCTTCAAGCGCAAGGACACACTCAACGTGCACATTCAGGTCGTACACGATGGCCACAAGAAGTACAAGTGTGACCTGTGTGAGAAGGCCTTCGTCACGCCATCTGTGCTCAAGAGCCACAAGAAGGTGAGTTCAGAATCAGAGACGTTTGGTACTGAAGTACAGTATAATCCAATATCTCATCAGTGTCAAAACACTTTTCATATCTATATCATAATCTGACCCACACAGAATCTGACACAGATCTCTGCAGAAACAATTTGAAACTCTATTCATAGTTCTACATATGCCCTGCCCTGTTATTCAATATTTTTTGGCTAATTCGACAATGCTGTCCTTTACCAATGAGAGTGTAAATGTGTGGTCACATTTACTGTTGTTCGATGAATTTTCGCAGTCATTTCAATAGGAATACTTGCGTGAGGGCAGAAGATTTCCACACACAGATTTTGCAACGGGTTCAATATAGAAAGCTGCTTGGTTTGAAAGTGACTTCTGTTTGAGTTGTGCTTCATATATCGTTACATTATTGACAGTAGACAATGATACTTTTTTGCCTACGTAATTTAAACAAAACTGCACCTAAATACTATCAGCTCTGTGCAACTGTGCAACACTGAGTTCCAGATATTCCCCTCAAATCAGTCTGGAGATTCCATTTTATTTTTATTTTATTTTAAAATTCTGATTGGTTAATAATGATATCCTGTCTTCAAAGACCACCTATTTATAACATAGCTGAGCTAGTTGTACATCTCTTTTTAATCGCTCTGCGCTGATTTTTCACACAATAGCTCAAAATGTTATGCTCATTTATTTATTTTGCAAGTAGCTATGTAATAAGCATAATGTA